CAGAGATGCCCAGATGCTCACTAGTAAGTGACCTACAGCACAGAAGCGTCAGTCTGAGATTAATGGAGCGTATCTGCCCACCCAGGAGCATCGGCGCGGGCCGTTCATCAGCCGTGAGTGAGTGTCAGCGCTCGGGACAGCTCCTAGAAACCCACTCACACTGACACCTGCATGAAGTTATGATCACCAGCACAGCGTCAAATAAACCACAGATATCACAAACTACAGACAGACACGCTGCAAAAAGTGCTGCTCTACCTCAGGATTTCTGTTTTCCAGCACGAACATCTGAACATTCTTAAAATCACTGACTGGAGATTCACTGTGACAAAAGATGAAAAACTTCATCAAAATAAAGCAAGTTTAGGATTAAAATAAGAACAAATATCCACCAACAGTGTCACTTTTTATTGAATCGAGGCTTGCGGTAACTAATAGAGTATAAAACTCTGAGAATCTGACCTGCTTCACTGTTATTCTCCATAATGATGCCCTTGTTTCTGAAACTCGAACTGGAGAACACAAAAGTGTGTGAGTGTGTGTGTGAGTGTGTGCGCGTGTCTTGAGGGCTGAAAGAGTTTCCTCCCACGCAGGGTAAAATTAATTGCCGTCCCCTCCAGACACCAACACACAGATTAATCACCGCACACCTTCACAAACACCGTACTGCCAACACACACACACCACAATAGAGAGAGAGGCTTTATCAGAGGAGGAGAACACACACACACACACACCTCACAACCCAAGGTATTTATCACAGCTGAAACACACAAACACAGGAGTATGTGGTGAGAAAGCAGCGATGGTGAACTGAGAGAGTGAGGGTCGACGCCAAGAACAGCCTGAGAGCCTCCATCTGTCCTTCAACACACACTCTGAGAAACAATTACTGCAGAGACCGAGAAACCGGTTAGTAATTGATCTCAGAGAGAGAGACAGAGAGAGTAAGAGAGAGAGGCGGGCTGGTGATTTGGGGTGAATGTTAGAAGAACAAACTGAAGCTCCAGAGAAATCCAGATGAGAAACAGTCCATCTAATGAAGCCATCTGCAGACTAATGAAGAGACACGGACACACAGATCCAACTGATAGATAGAACAACAGAATGATAGATAGATAGATAGATATATAGATAGATAGATAGATAGATAGAATCAGACTGAAGATAGATAGATAGATAGATAGATAGAACAGAACAATAGATAGATAGATAGATAGATAGAAGGGGTGTAACGGTTAACAAAATAACTTCATAATAATAATAATAATAGTCCTAATAAAACTAAGAATGTAACAGGCCTAAATTAATCTAAATCTTCGATACAAGATCATCGTCTTTCAACGCACCCCATCAGCAAGAATAGGTTATTGCGGGGCAGACAGCACTTTGCCTGTTACGTCGTTTGGGCTGCCTTGTTGAGCGCAGTGGCACTGAGAACATTATATTTCACACACTTAAAGCTCTTTTAGTTTCCATATGTAATAGGATTAGTCCAACGAATCGTTCGGTTAGTAATGCGTACCGAACCGAAAGCCTCGTACCAAATGGTTCAATACGAATACGTGTATCGTTACACCCCGTTACAGATAGATGGATGGATGGATGGATATAGACAGACAGACAGACAGACAGATAGATAGACAGATAGATAGATAGATAGATAGATAGATATATTCCTCTTCCTGTCATTCCAATTCAACCTCCTCCATGTTGTGGCCAATTATTCCAGATTTATGCAATACGGTCTTCAAGAGAACACACACACACACACACACACACACACACACACACACACACACTCATATCCCATCTGCCATTGCAGCTGCTGTTGTGTTGCATTCATTTTAGTCCATAGTTTGTGTATCTGAAGTTAATTTGTACTCCCTCTTTTTTAAACAAAACTATGTATACGCTGGAGAGGTTTGAGTTAACTAAATATTTTGTGGTAAATAAAAGCTGCACCCAGAAGCACCACTCATTTACAGATGGAGTATGTATGTATATCTACGAGCACACATGTCGTTTCCCACGATCCCTTGCAGCTTCCCCTCACCGCCCCAGCTTTATATCAGCACTAACTGAAAAGAGCAGGTGTTTCTACTTTAGCTTGAAAATCCTCCCACACACTGTTCAATTCGCCTATAAGACATCAGAATAAAACAAGACATATGTAGAGCTCAGAAAACTCCTCTCACGATCACAGCAGATGGTGAACAATTTCTCCAAAAGACCTCAACCTACAAACATCTCCTGATGCTGTAACTGTAAGCCCCGCCCTCTGAAATAAACCATTAATTGTAAGCCCCGCCCCCAAATAACAGTCACAGTCACCAGTCACTGTAAGCCCCACCCTCTAATAAACACTAGTCACTGTAAGCCCCGCCCTCAAAAATACAGCATCTCTGTAAACCCCACCCTCACATATACACCAGTCACTGTAAGGCACTGTAACCCCGCCCTCAAATAAACACCAGTCACAGTAAGCCACTGTAAACCCCGCACTCTAATATAAGCCAGTCACTGTAAGCCCCACCCTCAAACAAACACCAGTCACTGTAAGCCCTGCCCTCAAACATACAGCAGTCTCTGTAAACCCCACCCTCAAATATGCACCAGTCATTGTAAGCCACTGTAACCCCGCCCTCTATTATAAGCAGTCACTGTAAGCCCCACCCTCAAACAAACACTAGTCACTGTAAGCCACTGTAAGCCCTGCCCTCTAATATACGCTAGTCACTGTAAACCACTGTAAGCCCCGCCCTATAATATACAACAGTCACTGTACGCC